TTTGTTTTTGTGGCAGGGTCTCAGGATGTAGCATAGGCTTGCCTTCAATTCACTTATGTAGCCTAGGTGGGCCTTGAACTTGTGATCCTCCTGCCTCAGCCTCCCAAGTGCTGGGATGACAGATGTGCACCACCCCGCCCAGCTATGATATCTGTTTTGTTCTCAACAAAATGAACCAAGCTTCTTCTACAACAGGAGGCACTGAAACTGGCAGCATTCTGCTGAGTCTTAGGATGGCTGGATGCCCATTCACCACCTTGCTGGCTCCCCAGGGAGAAGCCCTTGTTGAACTACGCCAGGCCCCACACCCCTACACACAGCAGCCTCTTCTTCACTAAGTTGCTAGTTGAGAAATTGTCCCGGAAGCCCTGATCTGAGCAATATCCACTTCACTAATAGACACTCAAAGGTAGACACCTGACCTACAACAAAATACCCAAGGTGCACATCTTCATGGGGTTTTAGGAAAGAAAAACAACCGTGAATGGAAGAATTTACTTCCCCACAAGTTCAGCTTTGCATCAGAACCCAAATCCAAGCCATCTCCAAAAGGGACAGCTGGGAACAAGAGCACACCTATATTTTCAGTAAACCTGAGGCCTGGTGGGAACATGAGAATTGCCACAGCTCCCCAACATCACTTTATAAAAATGGGAGGCAGAATGAACTTACAGCTTAATGGGGAAGTTTAAAGATCGGTAGAGACCTAAATAACATCATATACCCACTCCTCACTTCTAATGTTACGTGAAGCATTAGGCTTCACGTAAAAGCCCTTCTGCTTCCCAGCAGGCAACAGAGCGAGGGGCTGCACCCTGGCACTAACTCTGCACTAACTGTGTGCCAACCACTCACCTCCACGCTCCTCATCTGTACATGAGGGGTGGGTCCCTGGGTTCTACGCCTCTTCTGCTCCTCTGCTGATGGAATGTGAAAGAGAATCAGAAAGGTAGATTTTCCAAGAAGAAAAGCAGAACAGGACTAAAAGTCAAAAGTAGCATTTTCCTTGCCAGTGGTTCTCAGTCCTGGCTGCATGTTAGACTCCTCTGCGGGCTTTGAAAAATCTCCATGCCCAGCCCGTACCAAAACCAAATAACCAAAATGGCTTGTGGTGGGACCCAAGCACCAGTATTTTCCAAGCTGCTCAGGGATTCCAGGATGCAGCTGAGGTTGAGAATCGCTGGGCCAGCAGCACCAGGTGTGGACCTAAGATTTCTGCATTTAACAAGCTTAGCGTGTGAATGTGTGAGAACCACAGGCAGAGAACCAGCAGCATCTCCGGGCACCCCTGCTTCCCAGTGTTTGCTGGAAAACTGCACCCCAGGTAATTCCCCAAGAGCCTCTAACTGGAGTAGCCATCGATGACCTCACTTGAGGAGAATCTGCTCTTCTCTGCACTCTGGCTGCCAAGGACGGGATCTTGCCCTGGACAAGACTCCAGTGCTACTCATACCCTGGTTTTTATTATGTGCACAATTACGGAATCATCATTTTTACTTTTCATCTCATTGGTTCCCTAGGGTTCCATTAAGAATCAGAGTCCCCAGCCTGGATTTGCCCAGAAGCACCCAAATTATGTCAGGACAAGCAATCTTTGAATAAAACCCTACAGTTGCTGCTAACTAGAAAGCCCCCTCTGGTTCCTTGGTCTTTAAACCTCAAAGGATGCCTGTGAAGACAGGAGAAATAGCCATGTTCACAGGGATAAAGAAGGTAGAGGAGAAAGCTCTATCCAGGGGTTCCCAACCCTGATGTCTCACTGGAATCAACCAAGCTTAAAAAGTGTCGGTGCCCCACACGTAAAGATTCTGATTCCATTGCTGTAGGCTGGGCCCTGGATATTGGCGTTTCACAAAACTTCCAGGTGACCCCAATGCTCTGCCTCCACTGCAGACCATGGATTTGGCCACTGTGCGGCCCTTCTTAGCCCAGCACCTTCTCTCACTGTCTAGTTAGTGCCATTTGCATGAAGCAGCTCCAGGTGACTTTTGACTTCCCTATGTTCACATTTCCTGCCATCGGCCCTTCTGCACAAAAAGTGTGCTATACAAAGCTGACAGTGGTGTTCACATGAGAAATTAGAGTACTGACGAGCGATTTACTGTGTTTTTACAAAACCCATGAACCAGTAACATTAGCGAGCGTGAATGCAGGCTTTCCGCTTCTGAGAGCTCTGCAGCAGTGGGTCCTATTGTAAGCTCGGATCAATGCCCACTTGTGCTTTGTTCTTCTGTTCTGAGTCATGCAGGTTGCTGTGTTTACTTCCCCATGGTGTTTGTGTTCTCATGGTAATGGCTGTTTAAAAAAACATGCAAATGACAGTGCTCAAAGCGCCACAAAAGTGCTGGGGAAGGTATGTGTCTGGTCTAAATGAACACCTCCAAAAGCGGGATGAGGAGACTAGGGGTAAAATTCAGCAATCAAAAACAGTCCAGGAAACCATCAGGCTGACACACATCAGGGCAAAAGGAAGCAGAAAACAAAACCGGAATAAACCAGGCACTTTTTAATGCTAGCTACTCAGGAGACTGAGGCCAGAGGGTGGAGAGTTCAAGGGCAGCCTAGGCAACTTAGCAAGAAATTTTTAAAAAATCTTCAAAGGACTAAAGATGTAGCTCAATGGTTAAACACATGCCTGGCATACATGAAGCCCTGAGTTTGATCCCCATGCAGAAACAGAACTGAACTAGAACTAGAAGGCAGTGTAATGGGAAACTTGGCACAACTGGAAAAAAATGTAGAGAGAATGAAGTGAAAACACACTGTCTTGGTGTCAAGTTGAGTGTCTCCGACTTACATAGAGTACTCTCCTGGGAAAGGTTTCAAACTGCAGACAACAGAACCCGCTAATGACCAAAAGCAGAAAGGCACTGATTACAGGGTATTGTCAAGGAACACAGAGAACTTCTGGGAAAGGTAGGAAATCAGTGGGTTATGATAGTCAGGAACGATGCAGCTAAGAGTGCTGAGTTCTGGCCAGGCATAGCAGTGCACACACCTGTAATCCCAGCACTCAGGAGGCTGAGGCAGGAAGATCACCATGAGTTCAAGGCCAGCCTACCCTACATAGCGAGACTGTTAAAAAAAAAAAAAAGAAAAAAAAAGAAAAAAAAGAAGGAAAGAGTTCTGAGTTCTGGAAGAGCCATTCTAATATCAGTTCCATTGCTGCCACTGCCCACACTGTGACATTAGGAACCAGGCACCGGGACCGCCCACAGAGCCACTCCCATGGGCTCTCACAGGGTAGCCCATGTTCCACCTTCCCGGTGCACTTGGTATCACACAGGAGCTGCTGCTGCCTGACAGCACGGCAAGGCAGTCCTGGGAGAGCGGTTTCCAGGTTCCAGCCTTTCTAACTCTGAGACACTTGATGGGGATGAATATGTCTTGACAATGGGCCAACCTGCCGAGCCGCCATTATCGTATTCACAGGCCACATTCCCTGGGCTTTGTCTGGCCTCCCATTCTTGCTTGTTCTGTGACAAATGCAGCCGTTTGTGAATGAATAAGTGAGTACTTCAAAACCTCTCACAGTGCTGCTGCTTCCCAGGCAGTGGATCTATTTCTGGGCTGTCACCATCTTGCTGAGCAATATTTGTTTTACAGCTCTTTAAGTAGTATTTTCTCATCCCCCTCATTTCCCCCTCCCTTTGTCCTCTCTCTGAAATAAATGGAAAACAGACATGAAAGTAATGATATTTGTAATGAGAACCATACGTACCATAAATTTAATAAACCTGAAAAAAAAGATTAAAATTACCAGTAGTATCCAATGCAGTTGGTCTATAATTTTAATGAGATTCTCAAAGGGAAAGAAAAGATCTGTTCAGGTTACAAAGAAGGTGCTTCAACTGCTAAGACCATGTTACCTGCGAATACTGCAGTGGATGAAGCGTCCCTGGGAATTTTACAGTCTGCCTTACCTTTCTGGGAGTGGAAGCCCGCTTACAATATGGAAGGCTGTTTTAACCTTTGTGCCTTCTCTCCTGGATGCCTTTGCAGGCACTAAGCTTTGCTCTACAGCAAGGGGAGCAGAGAGCAGCTGTGGAGGTGGGGAGGGAGGACACAGCCTGGTCCTCTCATGTGGCTGCCCTGGGCCCCTCCCCAGCACAGACCCCTTTGCCGTCATCTGTGGCCCAGCTCAGGACTCAGCACCACGTGAGGCGCCACAGCCCAGGAAGGCAGCATCCTCGGCCCTTGGTGCTTCGTCCTGAGTCTCATTCCCTCTGATGCTGGCCCCCTGTTTGGCTGAGAGTGGGGTGAAGACACTGAGATGGGGCAGCTGGAAGCTGAAGGGAAAGTTCCTCTTCTTTCACCGCAGTGACAGGGGTTTGGAGATGCCCAGGTGAGAGGCTGATCGGCACCTACAGAGAGCTCATGCCCGCAGGGCACTGTGGCTACTGGGGGTGGGTGTCTGTCCTGTGGACAGCTCCTTCTCTGGAGACTACAGTGAAGTCTTTCATTTTCTGATATAACGTCTTAGACTTACAAACCCGCGTTCCTGTGTCATTTCAATCTGAGTGACAGCAGTGACCTCCAACAGAGCAGAGTTACACTGCCAAAGAAAACACCAACACACCCCAAGAGGCAGCTGGCCTGTTCGGAACGAATCTTACAGCTAGATCTGCTTTTATTTTAAGAGAAATGGCTTGGAAGTGCTCCAAATAATGAAAGATATTTTAATCAGGAGCCCGTGGAGTAATTACTGGAACTAGGGGGCCACCCTGTGGTTGTGTCAAAAAAACGAGGTCCACACTCAGCCTATCCTTAATTCCAGACACAGAAATATCACTCTCGTCTACCCTTTATCAAATACCGTTTATCAACTTGCTACTTTCTCCTGCTGTACAAACTGGCAGCAATGATGCGTGGCTGCGAACAGATTTTAATATATAACAGAGCCTAACTCCCACTTGGCTGCCAGATTCCTGACGACCGCAGCCATCTGGAACTCAGGTATGAAGTCCCAAACCATGCTCAAGAATTGTCAAAAATTAAGGTTTAAGAACTAACAAGTTTAATTATTTGTGTCCTCTGGCAACCACCCAGCCTTCCCCCATTGGATCTAATTTAGTGACTGGTTATGGAGTGCGTACTGCCCGAGGGCAGCTGACAGGCTGTGACTATGGACACAGAAGGGAGAGCAGAGGACAGACCAGCTCCACAGCAGGCCCAGGAAGCAGATGCGCTGACTGCAGCAAGAGGGAGGGACCACGAAGAGCTCCGTCTAGGAAAGAACAAAAGTCTCTGCCCTTTCGAACTAGCAACAATAACACCAGATAATTAAATAGCCCCCTCAGCTGGATGACAGCAGAACAATCCCTGAGGTTCCGAACTGTGACTGACTGACAAAATTTTAAAAAGCAAAAAGCAGAAGTGAAGATGTTAGTAACTTTGTTTTCTTTGTCACACAATTATAGAAGACAGAGAATTAGCATTTAATGTAAAGGGGTCAGTTTTAGTTGTCTAAATGATAAATTAAATCCAGACTATCTCATGTCTATCAAAATTAAGAGGATGTCATTATGAACATGCTTGGAAAGTTCTATCAAGGAAGAACTTGAAAAGGGAACCTTGACTGACCAAACAGACGCTAGCTTTGGATCTTGTTATATTAATATTACTGGGAGATGAGGGATTGGGAATAATTGCTAACTTTTTTTTCTCCTTTCAATTCTCTCCATCTCCTCCATTTCCTCTTTCTTTTAAAAGTCTTCTTCCTTGAGGCAGAAGGATTGCTGAGAGTTTGAAGCCAACCTGGGCTACAAAGTGAGCTCAAGGCCAGGCTGGACTGCATAGCAAGATGCTGTCTCAAAAAAAGGTGTTCCTCTTCTTTTATTTTATTGGGAAAGTTGAAAAGTACACACCAAAGTAAGCAAAAGAGCAAAGGTTTATGTATTTGTTACCCAACAATCAATTCCACTTAATCCAGACTCATCCACAACCCTCTCCTGTATTATTTTGAAGTAAATGTCAGCCATCAAAAATTTTATCCATATATATCTACCATGTATTTCTAATAGTCAAGGACTTTTTAAAAAAATCCCCAAATTCCATGATACCTTTAAAAATTAATGCTAATAATAATTAATGAAAATTCTTTACTACAATCAAACTTCTACTCAGAGTTGAAATTTCCAATTGCTTAAGAAGTCAAAACTTAGTGGATGTGGTGGCACACATCTGTGATCCCAGCACTTGGGAGGCTGAGGCAGGAGGATCGCTTTGAGTTTGAGGCCAGCCTGGGCTACACAGTGAGACCCTATCTCAAAAACAAAAACCAAAAAACTCCTGACTGCACAATGTGAGCTCCAGTGCTGGCTCCCATGGTCTGGGGCTTTCTTCAGAGTGCAGCCAGGCTCTGCGCTACCACTGCCACAGCCCTCGGGCAGAATTGGCCCAGCTATTCTAGTATGTGGAGGCGGGGGGAGAAAACTGTAGATTAACTATACAAATGACTAGGAAAGTTGCAGTAAATGAGAAATCAAAGCAGGCATAATGTCACGGAAGTCATCTAGGGATTGCCAATGATTTGGGCACAGAACCCAGGATATGCTGGTTTACTCCATCTCTTCCTATTTTCTTCTGTGTGGTTTATATAGCAGACTTTCTGCCATCAGCGGCTGCTGGCCTTACAGCAGGGCAGGTGGAACAGGTTCTTGAGACAGGAGAACGGCCAGTGGCTAGGAGCAGAGGCCTTTCAATGCTCGTACTCTAGTTACTTCTGTGCTTATGTTTTCCTTTCTTTTAGACTAGTAGCAAATTCAGTCAATCCCTAGCATTCTCATTCCTGTATACCTCCCACCATCCAGCTTTGCCAGTGGACAAGGTGTTTCCTGCCTCATGGGGAGATCTTGCTGGAATCCGCCATTAGGAGCCAGAGACCTGATTCCCACCACCGCTCCATTCTCCCTTCACGGCTCATGATTCAGGCCCTCAACTGAGGTGTTGTTCTACATCCCTCTCTTTTCACCTCCTCTCTCCCCCATCTCATCGCCCCACCCACCGGCAGTTCGTGAGACTCTGCCCCCAAAGTGACTGGGACATGTGGTGGAGCTTCCTCTCCAGGGCTGCTGCCTGCCGTCTGTCACCCAGATGGCACCTTCCAAACGAATCCCTATGTCCAGAGTGATCCAAGACAGACATCAGATTCAGCCTCACCCCTGCACCTCCCTGTACCCAAAAGGAGACCCTAACCCTGCCCTGGGAAGCCCCGCCTGCCTCTCCCACCCCATCCCAGGGTTCTTCCCTTTCCCATCGCGCCAGTCCCACCCGCCTCACTTGGGACCCTCCACACCTAGAACGTCCCCTTTCTCAAGCCCCAGCATGTCAGGATGCCTGGAACTCCTGCCCTCTCCCTTTACTTTCAGCTCTTTCTCTTTCCAGCCTCAATAAGTGTTTCTTCCTCAGAAAACCCTTTCCTGGCCACATAGTCTAAAATGGGTTCCCACATTTTTCTTGCTCAGCCCCTCAGGTGATTCCACCACTTACGATGAAATATAATTACATTTCATCTCTACATGTGCACCGTCTCCACGATGGCAGCAAAAGCTCCATGAGCGCAAGAGCCATACTTACCTTGGTGGGGGGCTGGGGATTTAGCTCAACAGCACAGCGCCTGCCTGGCAAGCTCAAGGTCATGAGTTCGATTCCCAGTACTAGAAAAAAAAAAAAAAAAAAACCATACTTACCTTGGTGGGGGGCTGGGGATTTAGCTCAGCGGCATAGCGCCTGCCTGGCAAGCTCAAGGTCATGAGTTCGATTCCCAGTACTAGAAAAAAACAAACAAAAAAAAAACATACTTACCTTGGTGGCTGTTATGTGTGTTCAGGTGGGGAAATAAGGACCAGCTTTAAAGAAACAGATGGCAGCTGGGGGCCTGTGCTGCCTTCTGTCTCCCTTCCATTCAGGACTCTACACCTTGATTTTGCTCAGTACCGGGGAAGTTTCTTATCAGTTCAGGTGAACCCGTCCTCTCCTGTTCCCATCTGCGCCACCCCACCACTGTCCCTATCACCTCCACAACCAGTGAGTCATACAGTGGAGGCCAAAGAGGAAAGATGTTTGCTGGGCTTGTGGACAAGAAGCTTTCTCTCCTATTAATACCATGGAAGCAAACCTCTTCTCTGGAAGCTGTGGTGTGAGGTGTGTGCTCCAGGACCTCTGCATCATTCAAGGTCCCAGCAGGAAACAGAAGACACAGTCAAAATGGGCAATTAGAAGAGTAGTTAATAAATGGGCTACTCACCAGGCATGGTGGCACACACCTGTAATCCCAGCACTCGGGAGGCTGAGGCAGGAGGATTGTTGTGAGTTTGAGGCCAGCCTGAGCTACAAAGTGAGCTCAAGGCCAGCCTGACCTGCATAGTGAGACCCTGTCTCAAAAAGACTAAATAAATAAATAAATAAATAAATAAATAAATAAATGGGCCGCTTATGAAGATAGCATAAAGGTACAGGGAAAACTCAAGGAATAGGGAAGCATCTTACAGCCATTACCACCCTCAGCCTGCAGGGATGGCTTCTGGGATGGAGGGGTAGAGGGAGGCCTGTGGGGATGGCATCTTGCAGGAGAGGGGGGAAGGCAGCCGTGGTGTGCCCATGAGACATAGATGGAGCAAATACCCCAACTGATCATAGCAAACTAAAAGGCTTCTGTACAGCAAAAGCAAGCTCCAGCGTGAAAAGTGAACTACAAAATGGGGGGAAAAAAAACTTTGCCAGCTATTTTCCAACAGAGACTAATATCTAGACTAATGTCTAGAATAAAGAACTCAAAAAATTCTCTTATATGAGAAACCCAAATTATAAATAAAGAGCAAAATAAAAGATAGATAAGAGATAGGAGGACAGACTTTTTCTTTTTTGTTTCTTGCAGCTGCTAACTCGTGGTATGTTTTATTTTGCATTTTCAGTTCTCCAGTGCCTCACTAATGACTCTAAGTAAAATTCTCAGTTGAAATAATTAATGTGACTTGTGTCTCCTGGAAGGCCCAGTTGATGTCCACCTCCATCCAGTCTAAGTGAGAATCTCTACTGTCTTTTTATAAGACAATAATGCTATCAGATCAGGGCCCCACTCTCTGAGCTCTAAATACAGCCACACTGGAGGGGTTAGGACTCAATAGGGGAGAGAGAGACAGGGGTGGTGGGACACATATTTCAGGCCACAACAGTGTAATGTAGTGGTTAGGAATGCGGGTTACATATCCAGATGGTTTCAGTACAAAGCCTGGCTCCATCACTTCACCAGTTGTGTGGCCTTCTGCAAATTACTTAACCTCTATGTACATCAGTTTCCTCATCCGTGGAAGAGGGACGATAAAAGCACAGGAACACCAGTAACAGTACTTGATAATAATAAAACTGTTGCTTGGATTAAATGACTTAGTAACATGTAAATTGTTCACCACTGCCTAATACATAGTAAATACCATTAAGTGTTAGCCATAATGTAGTGATATTTAATTAGAAATTTTAACTGAAGCATGTAAAAGCAATAGATTTTGGATACTAATGTGAGTTGTGGGTTAGATTGCTCTGCAGGATTTCTAAGTAGAGGATCAAGATCTGTGAGACAAATTACCCAGTTTGAGGGTGTAAAAGAGGTGACTGTTGCAGAGAAGAAAGTTGTCGAGGGGTTGTAGAGAAAAAAGAAAGGGGTGCGCTACTCATTGAACTATGGCCTCTCCGCTTCATGATTTTGGTTTAGGGATACCACAAATCACATCTCTTCTTTGCCAACAGGGGGCGACGGAGGGGGACGACCGGGCCAGAGCGGGAAGACAGGTTTTCTCTTTCCCACCTCCTGTTCCTTTCCCCATCACCAGAGCAACACTTCTCTGTGGCAGCAGCCACTGTGGACTGCAGTTCAGTTTTCCCACCTGCTTGCCCCCAGCCCTCAGGGATGTTATTGTTTCTTGCAGCTGCTAACTCCATGATACATTATGTTTTGTTTTGTTTTGCATTTTCAGTTCTCCAGTGCCTAGCTAATGACTCTAAGTAAAATTCTCAGTTGAAATAATTAACGTGATTTCTGTCTCCTGGAAGGCCCGGTCGATGTCCACCTCCATCCAGCCCAAGTGAGAGGGTGCTAAGACTTGGTAGATGGTCATGGATTTGACGAGGCACTGCACTGGGCCAGCAGACCAAACCAAACCAATGTAGTTTATCATAACTACGCTTTGGCTGGTTGCAGTAGCCGGTTAACAGATTGGACTGTGAACTAGTTAAACCATAATCTATGGACTAGTTCACTGAGGAGCTATAGCCAAGGAGGTCATTTTCTATGCCTCGCTCCCATTTTTCTGCAAGTGCTGTCTGATCATGTTGTTAGGAATTCCCAGCACCTTTTCTAGTTCTGGGAGCTGCCCAATCTGAGTCATGTTTTGCTTTGGTTTAGCTCAAATAAACTCCACTAAGTTTAACTGGTCTAAGGAATCTTTCTTTTCAGGTGGGCATCAACCAGAGAGCCCCTGGAGAAGTGATAAGTACCCCCTACAGTTCCAGGAGCAGAGCAGAAGTGCATCTTGCCCCCACTCAAAAATTCAGAGTCAAGAGGTGGGCTGATGAGCTGCACTGAGAGGGGAAGGAAGAGTTGTGCCACACTGGGATAGGTCTACACTCCCAGTTTCTCAGGACATGGAGACTCATGGACCAATTTGAGCCATACTTGGGAAGGGAAGGGTCAGACTGAACCAATGGGATTGTTTTAACTAACCACCAATAGGACCACCTACAGGAGCAATGGAATCTCAGGTGGAGGGTGAAGGGTATCCTCAGGTGCCATGGAGGGAGCAGAGAAACACCTCGGGTACAAGTTAAGGGAATGCAAATGGAACCAGAAGTGTGTTATGGGAATGCTGGCATGTGTATTGGGAACTGCTCAGACTGAGTCAAAGCTCGGGGGATGTAAAGACACTGCCAGACAGCTCTGAGGACACAACCCATTGTCAGTGAAGGTGCACAATGGGCACAATTACATAATCACGACTTAGCAGTGGACAACTACACATGTGCCAAGGAGGGCAGCACATAAGAATGCAAATAGGTGATAACATGTATAAGAATTATACAATGAAGATATAGGTGGCTCTTGTGCTGTGCTCTGCTCCATGCTGCTTGCCTTTGCTGCTGTCTTGCACAGGTGTCTTCTTTTCCTGGGGACCTCATCTATGAAAATCTCCCTTGGGCCCTCAGTGGGCCAGCAATGTGCCACAGTGACAAAGAATGAGACCATGGGTGGAGGAGGCAAGATGCAAGCAAATTTACTTAAAAGATACAAAGGCAAGAAAGTAAGGCTCTCACTAGCCAGAAAAGGGTTCTGGATATCCACGAATGCTCTTTGTCTAGGGGGTTTTTAAGGGTTTACAGGGAGTCTGAGGTTTGTTGTAAACAATATAATCTCTACCCTATAGGAGGCTACATATTTTTTAGGGTCAAATCTGCAGTGTCCATGCAGGGCCTATGTACCCTCGAGCCAATGGCCTGCCTGATCATGCTCTGAGGAGGTCCCAGCCAGCCCAAGGACACCTGGCAGAAGTTTTGTAAGATCCGTGGAGGGCTGTGACTCAGCAGACTCCATTCTGGGCTTTCCTGGCTCCATTTGGGGGCCACTGTCCTTACTACCTAATAGAATCTTTATCTCCTGTCTCATTGATTCCTGTTATATTAGGGTTCTCAAAAGAGAACCCCACGAGACAATCCACTGTCAACACCGCCAGACCTGGAGAACATGAAGCCATCTTACTATGTCATCAGTCAGGTGGAGACGCTCCTGGCCCTCTCCCTCCCTCTCCCATCTCCTCGGGGTTCAATCCTGAGGGATCCAAAAAAAAAAAAAAAGGTCAGAAAGTTGGAGATAAGGAGATAGACTGTAGCCAGATCAGGAAATAGACCACCCCTTCTCCCACACCCCCACATCTCAGAGAAGACCCTTCTAGGGAAAGAGGAGGAGGCTTAAAATCACTTTTTGACTTCTGGTTACTTAGGATATGATAAGAGCTAAATTGAGACCCTCTGTGACTGAAAGTGATGACCTCTTTTTACTTAAAAGTGACTCTCAAATAAATAAATAAATCTATCTTGCTCATTTCAACACAGGTAAAGGGGAAGAATTACCAAAACCCAAGCACTTGGGAGGTAGGATGATCATGAGCTTGAGGCAACCTGGACTAACTAGTGAGGCCCTGTTTCAAGTAAACAACAAAAAAGTTGCCCTCAAGTCCTGCTTGTTCAACATGGAATCAGATTTGTAATGTAGTGAGACTGGGAGATAGGCTCGGCTTGGACTGGCTGGGAACAGAGGCGTGTTGGGAGGCCAGAGTCTAGGCAGAACCGAACCACCTCACTCAAAGAGTGTGGACAGAATAAAAGGGCACAGGCACCATGAAGAGCTCTCTGCCATGGCTCTCTACATAGTAGCCTGCCCTGTGTTCCTCAGGGTGTACTTTTATTTTTTCCTTTCTTTTGTTTGGCCCAAGCTCGCTCTGCACAGCCATTTTCTCCCCTACCCTTCACTTTTAATTTTTCCAGTTTTAAATAAATGTGAAACTTTGTACCTTTTTTGCTTGTTTCATTATCAGGTTAAAAACCCTTAGTTACTGCAGGCTAATCAGGCCTGCAATCTCCCAAACAAGTGGAAGGCAAAGGCTTAAATAAGACAACTGAAATGATTTCAGGGAACCCAGGAGGTTCCCAAGCCTCTTACAGAAATGGAGATTCTGAGGTTTTAGACTTTTCTGGGCAGCTAGTATTTATTAGGTTTTCAAACAAAGGAGGAGGATACTGAAGAAAATGCGGGCATTTTGCAGGACCTCGGGAAATATTTCCCCCAAGTAGTAAATTATGCCAATCAGGAGAACTACCTTGTCTTTAGGCTGGCATTTATTGTAGGAGTGTAGTGCCTGCACCTGCTGTCTCCTTTTAGTTAACTGGGGTTGGAGCCAAACATCCTCAGCTGTGGCCTTATCTTGTCCTTTGAGATGTCACAGCTTCACAGGCCAATATAGTGACTGACAGAGCTTCACTTACTGAGTCCACTGACCATCCCCAGACAAGGTGCCTACGCTTTGGACAACTCACAAGTAAACATGGAAAGCCAATTGGTTAATACTAAATCCTGCTCAGAGCTACTTTGTAGTGGTCTCCATCAGCTCAATTCTTTGTTTGAAAAAAAAAAAAACATCTGGAATCTACTGCTAGGAGACATGAGCACTCCAAAACCCAGTGTTTATTTGGTGAGCTACATTTAGAAGCAGACTACCCAGTAACAACAACAGTATAATTCCTGTTAATAAGTCATCTTATTTGCTCTAGCTACGAGAGGGCTACTGTCTCCCCAACACACTCTGCAGAGATCTGTTCTTTCTTTTTTTTTAAACATGTCAATGTCTTCATTTAAAAAACCAGACAGGGAGTAAGAAAGCACTTTGGTTCAAGGCCCTTGGAAATTTCTTGATTTCTGGTAAACATTCTCTTTTTACTAAGTGCATTCTCAGAGATAGAAAAGTACTTGCAGATCTTAGGAAACTCAATTTTGCAGTTACACTGGTCCTGATTTACAGGAGACACTTGGGATCCTGTCTTCTAAATATGCCATCCTAGAAGGAAACTCTCCTGGTCACGTCCAGGCCTAAATCTCTGCGGTGGGTGGGGAAGGAGAAACTGACTGTCCTCCAACCAAGTTGCAGCCCCTGCCTCGCAAGTCAGGGCTTTTGGAAGGTGCAGTCTAGCACACAGCAGACACTTGGCTAAGATTCTATGGATCGATACAACACGTCTAACCCAATCAAAAGCTCTTAATAAACTTTTCCTACTCTTAACCTCCTTTGTGTCTTGGAATTTATTCTTCAACATTCAGGGTACATGAACTTGATACATCTGACATCTAGCAGGTTGGGAGTTATACTTTTCTTATATCAGCGTGACTTTCCAAATGACGCTGGACTCTGTCTCTTCCTTTCTCCACTGCTATAATCTCATCTTGGTCCTTCCTCTTATGTAGATGAAGTATTATGTCTCTGACAGGCTTTCAGTCCCTCCCTCACCCTGCCCCACTGAAGAGAGTATTCTAGTTTTAAAATCCAAATTCAGAAGTCAAAATTCATCCAGAGAACTGTTTTTTTATGGGTGGGAGAGAGGAGACAGGGTCTCACTAACAGCCCAGGCTAGCCTCAAACTCAAGATCCTCCTGCCTCACCCTCCTAAGTGCTGGGATTACATGCCTGAGCCATTATACCCAGACTGAGAGCATTTAAGACTTAAGCCATATGTATTAAAAGCCTTAAAAAGCTTTTGTCCTTTTAATCAGTAATTCTACTTCTGGGAATCTATTTTCAAAAAAGAATCCTCTATATAAAAAAGTTACAACGTACAAAAACAGGCAGGCAACACTACTGATGCAGTACACTCTATCCAGCCCCTATAACTTTTGAAAATTCCATCCTTGGGGTTGGAGATGCAGCTCAGGGTCAGAATACCTGACTAGTATGTGTGAGGTCTTGGGTTCAACCCCCAACATTAGGAAAAAAACATTATGGAACAAATTACTTAAATCAACCTAATTTCAACTCCAAAACAACAGGATTTCTTTTCTTTTTTAACATCAAGCAGTCCTCAGGATGTCCTCAGAAAATCCTGCAGGTGTAGATCACCACTGGTCACTGCCAAGCCCCTAAGGGTCCCAGCTTACCTGGTTTCCTCAGTTCCAGTAGCCCCTTAGCGTTAGTGCCTCCCTCAGGATACGGATATTTGGTGGGGCTGGGGTCTGTGGGAAAGAGAGGTCCAGAGGTCTGGTTGACGGCCGTGGCAGAGGAGCGAGTCTGAGCACACTCGGACTCGTCATGTCCTCAGCACACCGAGTCGCCCTGCCTAGGCTGTCCC